ACTCCAATCAGGATGTAGTCTGCATAGTGAGCATAGTTGGTCCTTCTAAAATAGCTCTGGCGAGCCGAACGCGAGGGGCGAAGGCGTGTCTTGAAGTCTGGTCTCTGATCACTCCCGGGTCTTTGCAGTGAGCCTTTACTTCTGCAATCTGCGGTGATTGCCCTGTTTATTGATGACCGTTTATTGGCAATGCTCTTCAGTTGCATGGCCAATTTCTCAACCGCATGAAGTACCACATAGGATAGAAGAGAGCCGAAGGGTCGATGTGGTCGCGTTTGGGGGCTGGAGGTTGAGGTTGACGGAACTGGAACAGACAGACGACAATGGTGGGATATGAGAGACAGACACACTGAGATTCAGTTATAGGCAGTTCAGGAGACTATAGGGTGGCTGGAGGATACATGACGACCTGTCCAGAGGGACCCTCATTTGGTCTCTATCTACATGTCTGTGATTAAATCAATCAATTAATTATCAACGAGTCAATCAATCAACCAACCAATCAATCAATCAATCAATCAATCAATCAATCAATCAATTACTGGTCGAAGGCTGGAAAAGTTTTGATCCGTACTTTTAACAACTGGCATTTCAATCTTGCTCCCAAATCACATTCTCATACCCAGTGGCGAAAGAGTTTCAGGTCAGTATGGTCATTGCACGGGAAAAACGTGAGCCAAGTTCATTGCGGAGTGCGATACTGAATGAATCAATTAGGAGAAAAACTTACCAGACGCGGAGCACAGTGGAATTGTTCTTCGCGTAACCCCCTTTGCTGTCTCTCTTCTCCTTGTCCTAAGCTTATGAAAGTTGTCAGTCGATGTTGTGTATGATCGGTGACATTGCAACATCTACCCTCAACATCTCCTCTCGACATCTACAAAGGCAACTTTCGCTATTTTCAGTGGCCATACCAGTGCCATCATGGAAGAGGAATACCAGTGCCTGTCCTCCTCCAACTTTGCCATCGACTATCTTAAAAATAGATATTTTCTTGTGCTCTTTCTCTGGCACCTTCAGAGAGCTTAAACGTCCTGGAAGAGCGACAGCAAATGTTTCCACTTTGATCTTGTTAAATATCCTACTTTTTTTGGCACATGCATGTAGGAATAGACGAAATTCTAGCAGACTATATTCACCATGAAGTAACACGAAATTTTATTTTTAAAGGTTGTCCGATGCGTCCTTCTCTGGCACCCCAAAAGTGCTTAAATGTCCTGAAAGTGTGACTAAGGGCATTCTCAGACTAGGCGCTTTCCTGGATATTCCTCTCTCCCTAATTACGACCAGATTCAGTGCAGTCCTAGCATGAGCATATCTGAAGTGATGAATTGAAACGATTGAGGGAAAGAAGCAGATCAACAGAAGCACCAGTAGAGGGGCAAAAGCTGGTGAATGCTGGACGCTGAACCTGGTGATGCTCCCCGCTTATGAAAAGCAGCCTCTTACACGATTCTCTCCTCGTCAAATGAAATTCTGTAAGCGTACATTCGATTGTCCAGCAGTAGAACTCGTCGGGGATCGATGTAGAGGAGGCGTGCTTCATGCACGTGACGTAGACAGAGTATAGGCTTACTGTAATGCTGCTTGAGGAGTTGCGGCTACATTCGATTGCCCAGCCTCAACAAGTGAACGTTGAATACAGATACATGATGATGACGGCACAAGTGTGAAACTCAAATTTGCATTTCGCTGTGTCACTGGGCTATAGCATCGTTTCTAGCTATGTGACCTCATAGTGCCTTTGTTGTCAACGGAGTGCATGACACTCTGTGTGTGTGTGTGTGTGTGTGTGTGTGTGTGTGTGTGTGTGTGTGTGTGTGTGTGNGAGAGAGAGAGAGAGAGAGAGAGAGAGAGAGAGAGAGAGAGAGAGAGAGAGAGAGGTCCTAAGGGGTTAGGGTAATACCCAAACCCTACGGCGTGAGAGAAAAACCCTAAGCCCTAAGGGGAGAGAAAAACCCTAATCCGTAAGGGGGGAGAGCAACCCGAAACCCTAAACCCTAAGAGGGGAGGAAGCGGGAGGGAAGAAATGACTTTGTTTGTGTGTGTGTGTGTGTGTGTGTGTGTGTGTGTGTGTGTGTGTGTGTGTGTGTGTGTGTGTGTGAGAGAGAGAGAGAGAGAGAGAGAGAGAGAGAGAGAGAGAGAGAGAGAGAGAGAGAGAGAGGTCATCCTGTTGTTGTGGCTGCTGGCTTGTTGACTGTCATGTTGTGTTCCGATCTTTGGTTGGCTGCACACAGCTCCGCTTTTTGCTGGTTGTTTGACCCAGATGTGGTTGATCATGTGCATTATTTTGATTATGTTTCATTCCTAAAAAGACATGCCCAATTCTAGTTTCCGTGGGAAGACACGCAGCTTGTTTGGTGCCCAATTCTAGTTTCCGTGGAAAGAATGAAGGCTGCAAAAGGAGGAAAGGCCAAAAAGGGAAGAGAAGGATCAGTCATCTTGGCACCAACCTGTTCTGTGTTTTCTGCAGAAACGAGCCGGTTTTTCCCTTGCTGTGCGTGGTTCACATCGTCCCAAGAATGGGGCCAGCAATTGCGACTTAAAAAAACTGGTGTGTTTCTGCAGAAAACACGGAAAGCATGGTGAGGCATCTAGACTGGTGCCTTGTTGGTGCACCCTTGCTTATGTGTATTCCCGAGAGATGCTTTGGATTTTGCCAGAGCCAAAATGCCAGGGCCAAAGAGAGATGGAAAAAAAAAAAATGCTAACCGAAAAAAATGGCAAAAGGTAAAGACGCCAGTGGGTTTTGCTGCCATCTTTCATGCTTCGGCAAGTTAAACCCTCTCGTTCCTGTGGAATTGTTTCCACTTTGCTCAAGGTGCTTGTGACAATTTATTCTTCTTTCTCAATACTTTGACGCAACCTTCTGCTGAAGATTATGATGCTCATTTTGATCAGAAGTGTCTTTGGCCAGTATTTGTACTGCTGTCTTTCTTTTCTCTGTTGTCTTTGGTAAGTATATGGAGCTCTCTCTTTCTTCTGTCTACTGATTTGCAGTAGAGTCTTTCTGTTGTTGTTTTTTTGTGGCTTGCTGCTGATCTTGATGTTGTATTTAGTTTGGGCGGATCGGTTATGTATGTAATTTGCTGCTGATAGTGGTGTTCATTTGGGCCTGGGTGAGACTATATGGATTGGTTATGTAATTTGCTGCTGATAGTGGTGTTCATTTGGGCCTGGGTGAGACTATATGGATTGGTTATGTATTTTGCTGCATTTTGCACCAGTAATTCATCCAGCATTTGGGCTCGGGTGTGTATTTTGCTGCTTTTTGCACCTATAATTCATCCAGCCAACATCCAAGCGAGCGAGAAATCCCTTCTTCAATGGACTCGCCACTTTCCAAAACATGGTGAGGAGTGTAAGGTCTTAACAAGCTACCGATTTCTTTTCATTTGTGGTAGAACCAAAGCATGTGCATTGGTCCGCTTTCAGGCATCGCCCGTGGCACTCGAACACAAGAGTGTTTTTGTGCTGGTGGTATGATGCTCAGCTGGAGATTTTTGTAATGGGCAGCAAATGTGGCACCGGCCCACGCCCCGTGCATTCACTTTGAGCAAATCTTTGAATTCCCTCCCCTCTCCCATGAAGCCCTAATACCCAGGCCAGATACCCTGCCTGCACCTGCCCGTTAACCCGGTTCCGGGGAAAGGTTTGGCCCGCTGGACCTAACAGGCTGGTGGTTCCCGGCAGAGGCCCTTGCCCCTGACAGTTCGGAAACTCAGAAGGGGGCAAAATCACGCATTTGGTAAAAAAGAGCCTTGCAGGTGCTGTTGGTTTAAGGGTGGCATTCTCGTTGTTGTCAACTGTCTTTTTGTTTGCTGCCTGTGCTGCTGCAGTCTGGTAGATGATGTTACTGCTGGAAAGCATAGAGAAACTATTCTCAGGAACATATACAAGTGTGCTTCCCAACTTTGTTCCGAGGACAACTCTGATGATGGCGAGAGGTTGAACTGCACTAGAACGTTCATCGAGTTGTCGGTGAGATTGTGTACACAGTCAAACTCCAGAGAAAAAGTTCTGCAGGTAAGCAGGCAGAGTCGTCCTTCCTACACGTATCTTTTCTTTTTCCCCTTTGGTTTCATTCTCCTGTGTCCCCTTTTTGGCTCGTTCTTGCTTGCTGCTCTCTGATTTTTCCATTGTTCTCCCCACCGTATCCCAAAAATTCCGGCTCGTTGTTTTCGATCCTCATCCTGCATCTGCTCTGCCTGCAGTTCCAACCCATACTTTTGGCGCCCCGATTACACTGGTTTTGTTTCTGTCGATATCTGTGAGTTGTAGGAGAATGGTTGTCCAGGGCTATTGAGGCAAAAGGGGGAGCTGTTGAGACCTGTGAGCTGCGGGGGAATGGCTGCCCAAGGCTAAAAATTGGGTGGAGGAGATGAGGTGAAGGGAGAGATGAAAAAAGGTTTTTTTGTGAGAAGTTTGTCTTTTCCTTCTTGTATCATTAGGCTGCTGTCATGCGGCATGTCAGGCAGCTATTGAGGTCCTCTTTCTTTTTTCACGCAACTGGGGCTCCTTGAGCATATCTCAACTTTCCACTATGTTTTTTATTCTCCTTTTTGCAGTCGCTTGCTGATTTGGTATTGCAGCACGGACTACTATACAAGGTGGTGGTTCTCATACAACATGAGAATTCAGTCAGGTTGTGAATGCTCTCAAATGCCTTACGGGAAGTTAGGTGGCAATTCACAGGACTGCTTGACTGAATCTCGCTTTGAGATACTCAAATACATCTATTGAAGTCCCCGTTTGAGAATGCTCTTAGAGTCGGAAACCTTCCTTCAATCAGCATGCCTGCGTCATCAGTACAATTCATGCTAGAGGGTATGCTTTTGTGTGTGAGCTGTAGGCTGTGGTAGCCTCTTAATGCTGTCAGAGGTTTAGGGAAAATGTCTCCCCATGTTTTTCCTTGCTCGTTGCCCTTGGCTTATCCCTTTTTTGCTGACGACTCCCATCTATGGTCTGTGGATGTGCAAATCAGCGGATCAGATTTTAAGACTGTAAAGTTGTGAAAACTCTATTCCCGTGGAATGTCCATGTCAAGTGCAGCAGGAAAACACCCCTCAGATGTCAAATACGCTCACTAATCAATTGGCCGATTGTGTCTGTTGTGGGTGATTGCAGGTGGCAAGGAGACTCTTTGTGTCCTTAGGAAGGCATGGCCAGCCGGGAATGATTGCTGCTTTTGAGGTGTACGACAGATTTTGGAGGGACCTCTCTCTCGGGGACAAGGTAGTAGGTGGGGTTCTGTGATGTCCTTGCAAAGAAGCTCTATGTGGTGTCCAACACATAGTTCCTCCATTCTTTAGGTTTGAAAATTGAAAGGAGGGTTGTAGAATCAATGTCTCAAGACAAGAAGACTGAAAGGTTTGGTTGTGAAAATTGAAAGTTCCTCCATTCTTTAGGTTTGAAAATTGAAAGGAGGGTTGTAGAATCAATGTCTCAAGACAAGAAGATTGACGGGTTTGGTTGTCAAAATTGAAAGAAGGTTTGAACTTTGAAGAATGAATGTCGGAAGAAAAACAGCTGAAAGGTTGACATGCAATCTGTCGAGCAGAAATGAGATTGCAAAACATAGAGATGAGGTTGCAAAACGTAGATGAAACACAATTGATGATGTGTCGAAATATGTTTTGCAAGGATGAAACTAACTAACTTATTCAAGTGCTATGGTATGATGACGTCAACTTCTTTGTCTTTCTCTCTCCCGACTACCTGTCTTTGTTCTGCCTATTGCTGTAAAACGTATAGGAGAGAGATACAAAATATTCGAGTTAAATGTGCCTGGCTTGTGTGTGAATGATATGGACATATGACTGCTGATGTATAGATCATGAGTTCGAGTCCTGATGAATACAACAACATTAGGGGCTAACCCTCTTTTCAAAAGAAAGTTCAGTTTCAGAATAAATAAATAAAATATCCAAGTTGCTGCTGCTGCGTTCCTGCAATACTGCTCCTACCAAGAAAGTCAGTGGCTCAGGCCTAAGCAAGGCTGGTACTCATGGAGCGGTGCTAGTTCATGTGCATATTTGGAGACACTCTCAGGTTGCTGAGGGTTGGGAGAGACAGGAAGCGGAAATTGTGGAGTTTAAGGGATTGCAAGAGACTGACTTTGTGCGTGGACCTGTTTTCTGACAGATGAATGAAGCAGAAACTGCTGCAGTGATGGACTTGCTTGACCACTATGGAAAAGTATGTCTGGATATGGGGCAACCAGGTGCAGGATGTGATTGCCTCCTGGAAGTTTCCACGCGCGCGAAGCAGGTATGCAGCCTTCCAGTTCAGTATCTTTACGAAAGGAGAAAAAGGGAAAACAAATCTAGGAAAAGACCCTTTCGGAACAGTGTTGTGTTATTCTGGGTGCCAGAGGTTTGGGTCCTTTTGCCTTCAGGAAGTCACCGTACTAACAAAGCAGTGCGCCCCCGCAATTCATTATACTTATGACGAAGGAGAAAAAGGGAAAAGAAATCTAGGAAAAGACCCTTTTGGAACGGTGTTGTAGTATTCTGGGTGCCAGAGTTTTGGGTCGTTTTGCCTTCAGGAAGTCATCGCTGACAAAGCAGTGCGCCCCCGCAATAAGTCACTCCCCATTGTGGACGAGAGTTCCAAGTCTGTCTTATGAGCCTTCCCTTCTCTTGATTTGATGAGCTGGTAACTGAATGGTTGTTGCCTTCCACAAGGTGTAGCCGCTAGGAGAGCTTCCCACCCTCAGTCTCCCATGCTCGTCTCGTTTTTTGGTGTTTTCACCTGCACGAATTTTCAGCTGTTTGGTTGTCCTGATGCCCTACCAGGTCCTCTCCACTCCCTGATGGCGCCGCCCCTTCCCCTGCTTCATCTAGACTTTGGTAGCTAAGCTACGTCTTGGTCCACCCTGTAGTAGAGATCCATTCAATCCATGCTGTCCAGATTGTGAAACAAACATTCCCTGGCTTAGCCTCCGGCCAGGTCTTGATTAAATTGGCCATATACTTCTGTGCTTCCTCTTCATCTCTCTTCATCTTTTCATCGACCTGCACCCTGCAACAGCCTAAAAGGCTGGGTCTACAGTGTCACAGTGACTCTCATGGACATATGCATTCAGTGTCACAGTGACTCTCATGGACATATGCATTCAGTCACTGCAACAGCCTAAAAGGCTGGGTCGCCTTTCTTTTACACTTGCTATTGTTGGGTGTAACACTGTGTCCCTGACCGTAGCCTGCCGGTGGCCTATTCCCGCTGTCTGATATCTGCTGGAATTTCCGGTTTTGATCGGCAGCTACCAAATATGATTTCGAGATTTAGGGAAAAGAAAAAGCGTGGCTGCCCCGGGCCCTGCCAGTTGCTCTGATTTGTTGGTGTGGCGGTCCGCTGAGACTATGGCCGGTGTCAATGGGCGTGCTTGGCAGGGTCTGGGCAAGCTCACTCTTCCTTTTCTTTTCCTGAGGAGCGTTGAGTCTATTTTATTTTCCAAGCATTGCTTCTAGTGTCTGCATGGGGTTGGAAAAAAAAAGGGAAAGGAAAAATCCAATATAAGGATCAGGCATGTGCAGCAGGATGTGGCCAGGTAGAAACCATCCCTCCTCTTTGTGCGATGCCCGGAGGTCCAGGGCACAGGAAGTTGCAGACGGCGCCCTTGAATGTTGACGAGACGGATGATACAGAGATTCTCTGGGGAACCCTGATTAAGGTCAACAGACCGGCCTTTGGGAAATCGATGGTGGAAGAGATTGTGAGGGCTGTGGTGTTATGGGCCTTGTGGACGTTGAGGAACGAGTGATGCAGGCAAGGCGCGACCCCACTGCTGCAGGCATACCAGGAATGTGCTTTGGAGAACATTAGGATCGACCTGTTGGCGGATCTTCATCTGTGCCGAGGCACAGGAGGGGAGGAGGCTGGGTTCTGGGAAAGATGGAGGCCGTATCTGCAGCTCTTGACCTGGAACCCTCACACAGGCCAACTGCAGTTTGGCCCCATCCTGGCACGCCATGTTCCTCGGCCGGAGACCGAGGATGAATTGGAAATGTGCAGAGCTCTGAGCGACTGAATCAGATTGCAGCCTTGTAATATAGTTTGTAGGTGATAGAAAGAGGTGAGGGGATGGGTAGGGCTATAGATGTATCATAGTTAGAAAACACGTCCAATAGGGGAAGCGATAGGACCTAAGAGGAGAGAAGGGTTAAGGCGAGGGGTAGGGGGAAGAGGATAGAAGATGGGAGATAGGGAGGGAGTTTCACGGAAAAGGGGGTAAAACCTCGGAAAAGAAGTAGAAAACTGGGAAAAGCTGGGGCAACCTGCAAACAGAGATTGGATATTGTTTGAAAGGATGGTAGCATGTATGGCGGGTAAGGGATGAGATAAGGTAATAGGTGGTAAGTAGGACATAGGCAAGGGGAATGCAAGTAGGTAATTTGAGTAGGCTGGTATTAAGGACATACAGTGGAACAAGCAAAACTTGTGGGGAGGATATAACTTTATATGGACCGTACGGCTATAGCGTGAGACGGGTGTTCATAGAAATAAGCCCTTTGAGACGCTTTGGCCATGAGCAGGAGATGAGCGGCCAGTGAGACTGCTAGGCTTGCCCCTCCCATGCCCCGCCACCCCTGGGGTCCTGCTGCATGACTGGGTGCTGCTAGTAAGCTTCCCGGGCAGCAGAAGGATCCCAGTGGAGTCTATGGTTTGGGCGTTGGGATGGCCTGCAGCAGGCCCCCCCTTGATAGGTGACTAGTACCGCAAGTTTCTATCCCTACAACTGTCTTGCTTGAACTCATGCTTGCCGGTGATAATCAACCGGACTGATGCCCCTCAGAATAGAAGGGGCCTTGTGTGTTTTGCTGGGGAAAAAAAGAAAAGAAAAGAGAAAGCCCCCTATAGTGAATGGCCGGTAGCTCAGTGGGTGGAGCACCGGTTGGAAATGCGCATTGTGGTTTAAGGTTGCGGGTTCAAAACTCCACAGCTCAGTAGCTATAGTGTGTGGTTTGTGGTCCAATGATCTCCAGGTCATGTCTCGTGTACTCAGCATGGGCAGGGTAGAGGAGTTAGGTTGGGTAGAGGTCTTAGGTCTAGATTAGGTTAGGTAGCAATTTGTGTAGAGATTGTGGGCCTGTCTGTGTGCGCCGCCTCGTTCTTATGCACTGCTCCGTGGGTGTGGGGTAGAGGAGTTAGGTTGGGTAGAGGTCTTAGGTCTAGATTAGGTTAGGTAGGAATTTGTGTAGAGATTGTGGGCCTGTCTTTGTGAACGCCGCCTCGTTCTTATGCACTGCTGCGTGGGTGTGTCATGGGTGTGTCTGGGTACCGTAGTAGTTTCCTGGCCTCATGGTACACCCGCGAGAGTCCATACTTACACTGTACGATCCTGGTCTCGGTCCGACTCCGCTTTCCACATCCCCCTTGAGTAGTGGTAAAGGGTTGGGTGCGAGAGTCCATACTTACATTGTACGATCCTGGTCCCGGTCCGGCTCTGCTTTCTACACCCCCCTTGAGTAGTGGTAAAGGGTTGGGTGTTAGGCATATACGATTCCCAAGGGCGGGCCTCATGTCTATCTTACGATGCTTGCGGGCTGGGCTTCATCCGGGCTGGTACCTGTCTGCGTTCTCATTGAGGGGTTTGATTGGGGTGTGAATCTGGGGAAGGGTCTCTGGGTAGGGATCTCATCTTAGGCGGGGGAGGGTGGATCGTCGCATTGATAGTAGAAGGGTGGTAGACACCCATAAGAGTCTGCTAGAAGGTGGTGAATGACCACATATCTGTGACCCCTCCTGTGTCCGGGTCGTCCTCGGAAATTCGGGGTGTCCCTATGGCAGCACTGGGGGGGACTCGTCTGAGACCCCCGGAAGGCGTGGGTTGGTGTATGTCCAGGTCTAGAGACAGGTCTGGGTCGCACCGTTGCAGGGCTCGACTTGCGATCTGATTAGGAAGGTGTCGTAGAAGACTTAGTTCACTGCCTGATGTGCTGTAAAGAGGCGACGGAATACTGGGTCAGAGCGTCTTCACTCTGGGACTCCCTCTTCACTTCTCCCTTCCCCTTCCAGCCCATCCAACTTCTCCTCTTGACTAACATCCCTGTCCAGGCGCAAAAGGCAGAAAGGATCTGGTTTGAACTCGTCAGGAAAGTGACCCTATGGGTCATTTGGAAGGAGAGATGCAGCAGAACAATCGAGGGGAGATCCAACCCACGGTAGAAGGTGTGGATAGAAACCAGAACGCTGATACAAGCGGAGATCCTCTGCAGATGGCGGAAGATAAAACAAGCTTGGACTGATGACGAAGAATAACGTAACAAAGAGAGGCAGAAATTCTGCAGGGACTGGCTGATAAGTGGCAAGATTGCAGATCTGCGCGATGATCGAATACGTTGGAGGGAGTGGCACAACTCTGTCTCAGAAAGAGGCTTTCGCCAGCAGGCATCTCCTCAGGGCATACTTGTAGCCTAGCCCTTCACATCAGGAAAAGGTCATTTCCAGGGCACCAGTGGACACGTTCTGAGAGGATTCAAGCGAGAGTGCAGGACCATTGATCAGAGGCTATCAAGGGAGCACAAAGACGACCCACTTGCAGGGGGGATGGAAGCGAACAAGGCAGGTCAATGCACAACTTCTTATACTGGCGGGCCGTCACACGGAGGAAGGGTTTAGGGTTTAGGGTTTAGGGTTTTTCCCAAGTCTTCTCAAAGGGACAGAGAGGGTGCAGAGAAGACGAAGCCCGGCAAGGACATCGATTGGGAGACTGAGGAAAACAGACCTAGGTCCACCAGGATTCATACACAGATCGGACAACCCTACAGGACATACTTGTATCCTAGCTCTCAACAGCAGGAAAGGGACACATCAAGGGACCAGGGATCACGAACTGAGAGGATTCAAGGGAGAGAGCAGGACCATTTTTGACCAGGGGTTATCAAGGGAGCTCAAACATGGGGACGTCCTTCTCTCAGGGGGGCCGGAAACGAACAACACAGGTCAAGGTACAATTTCGTACACT